CACCGAACGGCTCCCATAGGGCGAGCAGGAGAGGCTGGGACGGCTGGGATGCTGCCCGCGGGCTCAGATGGGATCTGGAGGCACAGATGGGCTCAGCACCCAGCACTGCTGTCCCCCGGGGAGCGACCCCCTGTGCAGCACAAGGGGCGCGGGGCCAGCACACGCTCTGGCTCGCTCCTCTCTTGGCTGCCTGCAAGACGCCTGATGGCACAGCTGGGAAATCCCAGCTTTGCTCCCCGTCGCCCGCGGCCCCGCAGAGCTGGCAGGGATGCCGGGCATCATCCCGAGCCGCTGAGCCCTTGAGAGAGGGGTTGGGACGTCCCCGAGTGGGGGGCTGTCCCTGTTGGGAGCGAACACAGCGCGTGTAGGGGGCGGTGAGTGACACCCGTGGTCCCACTCAGCGTGGGGGAGGGCAGAACCCCATCCCCGCAATGGGATCCCCAGGACGGCTGTTGGTGCTACGGGGAGCAATCGCTGCTCATCCCGGCCCCGTGCCAGCCTGCTTTGCATCTCAATGCATCTCCGAAGTCCGTCCGTTCGGCGGAGGGGATGCGGGGCCGCGAGCTCCGACATCTGCTCGTAGCAGCACAGGCGCTGCCTCCGTCCCCTCTCCTTTGCTCCCGAAGCGGGGGCGCAGCCCAGGCTCCATCACCCCCCGTTTCTCCTTTTCCTATCACAAAACTCCCCTGGATGCTCAGCACGTGCCGCTTAACCCCCATCTTTCCCCTTCCGTCCAGAAACGTTTTTAATTTCGCTCTGCACGACCCGATGCTCCAAAGCTCCCGGTGTCCCTGGGTTGTCCCAGTGCTCGCGTTCACCACCGCATCCCCGCTGCATCACCCGGTTGTGTGCGGCCGGCGGGAGCTGTGAGCACGGCTGTGAGTTCAGAGCATCGGTGCCCGAATTTGGGATCGGCGTGGGGAAGCCAGGCATTGCGCTGCCCCATAGGAAAGGGGAACCTTAGGGACGCACCGCAAAGCTCCGAGCGGCGCCGGCTGTGAGCTGGATGCGCATCCCCGAGCGGGAGCTGACATCTGCTGGTAAGAACCTTCAACAGCCCGCTGGGTGTCCGTGTCCCGCGGTTGGATGCTTTCCATCCCAGGATGTAAAACTGGGGGCACTGGGAGCTGCTGGGCGCTGAGGTCCCCAAGCTGGAGAGGTCGTGTAATCCTGAGCACCGCCTGCTGCGTGGGGCAGGAGATGCAGGACAGGCTGTGGGAGCAGAGCATGGGGCAGCACACAGCCTCAGTGCTCAGAAAGTTGGGATCTGACGCTCAGCCCCAGTTCCTGGGTGCCTCAGAGGCCACTTCTGACCCCTTCAGCCATCGTAGTGGGAACAGAAGGGTCCCTGTGAGGCGGCCGTGGCTCTTGGGATTGGATTCATCCCAGTAAGAGCCTGTGCAGAAGGTCCCAGAGGATGGAGGAAGTTTGTCGTCAGCCCCCTGCCTTAGGCAGGATGGAGAGGAGAGGAGAGGAGAGGAGAGGAGAGGAGAGGAGA